TCCTACGATTACTACTACTACTACTACTACTACCACTACTGCTACTACTACTACTACTACTCCTACTACTACGACTGCTACTGCTACTACGACTACTACGACTACTACTACGACTACTACTACAACTACTACTACGACGACTACTACTACTACTACTACTACTATTAGTACTACTACAACCACTACACTCACTACTACGACGACTACGGCTACTACGACTACTAATACTAAGACTTCTACTTCTACTTCTTCTTCTTCTTCTACTACTACTACTACTACGAATACTACATTGACTACTACTACTACTACTACTACTACTACTACTACTACTACTACTACTACTACTACTACTACTACGACTACGACTACGACTACGACTACGACTAATACGACTAATACGACTAATACGACTACCACTACTACTACTACTACTACTACTACTACTACTACTACTACTACTACTACTACGACCACGAATGCTACTACGAAGCCTACCTCTCCCTCTCTCGCTGTCCCTCGCGCTCCCTCTCTCTCTCTCTATGTCTCTCTCCCTCCCTCTCTCTCTCTCGCCCCTCCCCCCTCCTTAATCCTCCCACACACAGACACACACAGGCGAACGTATCTGGTGAGGACGGGCGCAGGAGTGGGAAAAAACGTGACAGGAATGCTGAAGGGGGGAGGCACATAGAGCGAGAGAGAGAGAGAGACAGAGAGAAAGAGAGGGGGAAAAGTAGAAACCAACTAGAGAAAGAGAGTGAGAGAGAGAGAGAGAAACCAAAAACACATACATAGAAAGTGTGCGAGAGTGAGATAGAGAGACAACACATATTCAGAGATAGTAGAGAAGGAAAAAAGGAGAGACGGAGAAAAGAGAGATAGAGAGCGAGAGGGGGCCGGACATTCGGAGAACAGACAGGGGGAGACATACAATTACAAAACCGTGTCGATCAAGAAGACCACAAGTACACTAACAGGCCGCTCCAACTGCAACGATCATAACCAGTACTGGTGCTACAACAGTTCATGGCATAACAGCTCATACATCTCAGGCCATCACCAGCAACCTACTACGCATTTCCCTTGATGACCACCACACCAATGGATGTGACTTGCTACGACGAGACACTGGTTGCGACATCTTCTGTACACCCTTACCCCTACAGATCCTTACAATCTTCCTCACCACCCGCATGGGACGAGGATGCTGGGGAGGCCTGGGGGGGGGGGGGGGGCTGCTCGGGCCACGGGTCCTGGTTGCCCTTCAGCTCGTCGCGATTCCCAATGGTCACAGTGTACGCGCCGCGGAGAAACTCCTGTGGAACCCGAACTTCCTCCGCCTCGCCGTTTTCCTGCTGACGCCCTCATTGGCCTTATCATCCGCCTGCACCGTCTCCTTACCCACATCCTCCTCATCCTTCGCCTCTTCTTTCTCGTTCCCGTCCCCCTGCGAACAACAGAGTGTATAATCCTCTTCGCTCTTCCCTCGCATCCTCCTCACCATCATCACTCACACCATCAACATCCTCATCATCAGCAGCAGCAGAAGTCCTCATCGACATTATCGGCGTCATCATGCCCATCACCACCACCACCACCACCACGACCACCACCACTACGATCATCATCGCCTCATCAGCATCACCATCATCACCACCATCATGACCATCATCATCCTCATAATAATGATAATAATCATCATCATCATCATCATCAGCAGCATCCTCATCATCATCAGCGTCTTCATCATCAACAGCAGCATCATAAGTATCATTGCCAGCATCGCCATCATCAGCATAATCATCACGATCGCATCATCATCATCATGGTCATGACCGCCATCGTCATCTGAATCATCAGCCGTACCAGCATAAGCATCGTCATCATCACCATTATCAGCATCATCATCAGACTCATCATCATCACCATAAATATCACCATCATATTCATCATCATCAGCATCATCGTCAGCACTATCATCAGTAGCAGCAGCCACATAATCGTCGTCATAAACATGACCATCAACAAGCATCACCACTAGCATCACCATCATCACCACGCGCATAAGCATACTAATCACCATTATCTGCATCATCATCATCATCAGCAGCAGCATCAACATTATCATCGTCGTCATCATCATCATCATCACCATCACACTCCCCATCATCATCCTCATCCTCATCTTCAACCTCATCACCGTCATCAGAACTATCCCACATACAATCGGGGGTGGCCAAGAGGGGGGCGTCCAAGAGGGGGGCGTGCAATTCATGGCCGGCGGCAAGTGCTCGGCCAAACGGGGGGGCCAGGGACGTAATGAAATAAGAAGCGGCGCCATGAAATCTTGGGAACTATCATGGCCCACGCCATGATGTCCACCCACCCTAGTCATCGCCGCCCTCTTTTCCGCCCCCGATACAAGGCACTCGCGCACTCACTCGCGGTCTCACGCTCGCCCACGCACCCGCACACTCGCACACTCGCACACGCATGCATCCACCTTGGGGAAGTCTCAAGCGGGGGCCTCGTCTGTGAGCGCACCGTGAGGAAGTCTCGAGCGGGAGCCCCTCCCCATGGGGCCTTGGGGAAACCGAACGGTACCGATACCGCTATCCCCCGGACCTCTCCCGGGGTGCGTTCTGACCAGGATCTTGAGGCGAATCCATCGGTGGCGACGAGGGCCGCCAGGAGGCCCAAAAAGGGGAAAACGGGCGAAGGGTAGCGGTATCGGTACCGTTTCCTCCTCTGAATGGGGCCTGCGCTTCGCGCTGGCACTCAAGGCGGGCCGTCGTCACGCCGGGGGGGCTCCGGAGGGCCCGGGTTTGCACGCGGCCTCGAGCAAGAGCCCCTTTTCTTTTTTGTTTTTGTTGTATTTACTTTCCTGCGGGCCTCACACTTCACGTTGGCGATCCGGGCGGGCCACCCCAATCTCGAACTTCTCGTCACCCTGGGCTCCCGAGGGCTGATTCCTGAGGATGTCTCGAGCGAAAGAATCGCGTGTGTGTGCATCGTGAAGTCTTGGCGGGAGCCCCTTCCTGTCGGGCCCACACTTCATTTTAGTGGTCCGAGTGGGCCATCCAAATCCTGTAACTGTCGTCGCTCCTTGGGCTCCCAAAGATTGAATCCAGCTGGAGCCTGGTCTGTAGTAGATCGCGGGGAAGTCTCGAACGGGAGCCTCTCCCTCTGATGGCCACCCTTCATGTTAGTCTGAGCGGGTCACCGAAATCTTGCAACTGTCGTCACTTAGTTGGGCTTCTAAGGGCGCAAGCTTCAGGCAGTCCCAAGCGGAAGTCCCTGCGTATGCGCCTGCGCTTCACGTTAGTAGTCCGAGTTGACCATCCAAATCCTGCAACTGTCTTCACTCTTGAGTTTCTGAGGATTGCGACTTAAGTCTCGAGCGAGAGACTCATCTGCGTGCGGATAGGAAGTCTCAAGCGGAAGCCCCTGCTTTTGGGGCCCCACACTTCATGTTAGTGGTCCGCATCCAAATCCTGTAACTGTCGTCACGCTGGGCTCCTGAGGATTAGATCAAAAGGAAGTCTTGAAAGGGAGCCTCGTCTCTGGGTGGATCGTAAGAACATCTCGAGCGGGAACCAGCCCCCGTAGGGCCCGAACCTCATGTGAGTCCGAGCGGGCCATCCAAAGAAGTCTCGAGCGGGAGCGCCGTCTGCGCGTGTCTCGTGCGGAAATCCGCCGACCCCCTGGGGCCACTCGGCGCGTCAAACGTTCCGCAAGGGTGATGTTCGACGGCTGCTGGGGCGCCCCGGGTCGAGCTGGGGGAGCCTCAGGTCGGGCTGGGGGTTAGGGTTTAGGGTTTAGGGTTTAGGGTTTAGGCCTAAGTAGAAGAAGAAAAAACGCCATGAACAGAAAGTGTGGGCGCTCCGCCGGGAGCCCGGCGCAGATCCGAGAAACCCGCGCGGAGCCCCACGAGTTTAGATGTGCATGGCGTTGTTGATTATTTTTTGTCTTAGGTGTCGCGAAGCCAACCGCAGCCAACGACCCCTTCTGGCAGCCTCCGATGGAAGGGGGTGAGGCGTTGGCGGAACTGGGCTTAGTGGAACCTGGTTTAATGGTGATGTGTAATGGGGGACGCCCCCCCGCCCCGCTCAACTGCCGTCACCCGACAAAAAAAACACCAGCTGCGGCAGACCTGGTTTAGTGATTCCGGCCAATTCAAGGGCTCCGGGGCCCTACCACTAACCAGGTCCCCTTGCCTGGGATCCTGGCTATACCCGAAGGGGGTGGGGGGGGGGCGAAAGTGCTGGCGGTACCAGCGCGGTGTCAGCGGCCTCGGCCGCTCCGGACCTGCCCCCGGCACGGCTCCGACGGCTTCGACAGGACCTCCGTAGCCTCTAGGTTGCCCCGCCATGTGCTGGCCCGAAACCGTCCCAGTGTGGTATCAGAACAGCTCTAGGAACCTCGAAAATGTCGTTCGAAGGCTTCCCCTTTTCCTGCTTTCCCGTCTCCTCAGCCTCAGGCTGTGTACCTCCTCCTGCTTTGTACCATTCTCCTCTCACTAATGGCCTCCTCCTCCTCCTCCTTCTCCTCCTCCTCCTGCTTCGCATGTTCATGCTCCCGCTCCCGCGTGGCCGACGATCGAGCCCCTCTCGCCGGCAACAGATGCGATGCCCATCCGATTCTGTTTCATTCCCCCGCCCCCCTCCACCTCCGCTTCCCCCTCCTCTTTTCCGCATCACTATCAACATCAACATCATCATCATCATCATCATCATCATCATCATCATCATCATCATCAGCATCAGCATCAGCATCAGCATCAGCATCAGCATCATCATCAGCATCATCATCATCATAATCATCACCATCATCATCATAATCAGCATCACCATGAGCAGCACTGTCATCATCATCATCATCATCAACAGCATCGTCGTCATCATAATCATCATCATAATCATCATCCTCATCACCATCATCAGCATCATCCTCCTCCTCCTCATCATCATCAACATCATCATCATCATCATCATCATCATCATCATCATCCTAATCATCATCGTCGTCGTCGTGGTCATCAGCATCATCATTACCATCATCATCATCATCATCATCAGCAGCAGAAAAAGCATCATCATGATCATTATCAGCATCATAATCAGCTTCATCAGCATCAGCACCATCATCGTCATCAGCATCAGCATCAGCATCAGCAGCATCAGCAGAGTCAGCATCGTCATCACCACCATCACCACCACCATCATCATCATCAGCATCATCATCATCAGCACCATCATCATCATCAGCAGCAGCATTGTCATCATCATCATCATCATCATCATCATCATCATCGTCGTGAACATCATCAGCAGCATCAGCATGATGTTCAGCATCACTATCATCACCATCATCAGCGTCGTTAACATCATCAACAACATCACCAACAGCATTAGCATCAGCATTAGCATCAGCAACATCATCATCATCATCATCATCAGTAACAGCATCATCAGTATCATGATCATCAGCAGCATCATCATCAGCAGCATCAGCATCATCAACATCATCGTCATCATCATAATCATCATCAGCATCAGCATCAGCATCATAATTATCATCATCATCATCATCATCATCATGATCATCATCATCATCATCATCATCTGTCCTCCTCCTCCTCCCTCCTCCTCCCTCCTCCTCATGCTTCCCATGTTCATGCTCCCGCTCCCGCGTGGCCGACTATCGAGCTTCACTTGTCGGCCACAGATGCGGTGCCCACCCGATGCGACTTCATCCCCCCATCCCCCACCCTCGACTCCTCATCCTCATCCTCCTCCTATTCTTCTACTTCTTCACCATTATCACCAGCAGCAGCAACCTCCTCCTCCTCCTCATCGTCATCATCAGCAGCATCATCAGCAGCGTCATCGCCATCGTCGCCGTCGTGGTCACCAAGAACATCAGCATCAGCATCAGCATCAGCATCAGCATCAGCATCAGCATCATCAGCACCATCATCAGTATCAACCTCATCATCATCATCAGCAGCAGTGTGGTCATGAGCGCAATCATTATCATCATCATCATCACCACCACCACCATCATCAGCATCATCCTCATCGTCATCATCATCATCATGATTAACAGCATCGTCATTACAATCGTCGTCGTTGTCATCATCATCAACATCATCATCAGCATCATCAACATCATCAGCATCATCAGCATCATCAGCATCATCATCAGCACCATCATCATCGCCATCAGCATCGTCATCAGCATCAACATCAGCATAGTGATCATCAGCATCATCATCAGCAGAAGCAGCATCAGCAGCATTAGCCTCGTCATCATCGCCACCATCATCATGATCATGATCATCATCAGCATCGTCATCATCAGCATCATCATCATAATCAGCAGCAGCACCATCATCACTCGCATAATCATCAGAATCAGCATCATCATCACCATCATCACCATCGTCGTCAACATCCTCATCATTATCAGTATCAATGACAGCATCATCATCAGCATCATCATCACCATCACCATCACCATCATCATCATCATCATCATCATCATCATCATCACCATCATCATCATCATCATCATCATCACCATCATCATCATCATCATCATCATCATCATCATAAACAGCGGCATAATCATCATCAGCATCACCACCATCATCGTCATCAAAACTCATCATCATCACCACATTTATGATCGGAATCATCATCAGCATCATCATTATCATTAATTATCATGATCATGATCATGACCATGATCAGCATCATCATCATCACCATCATCATCATCATCATCGTCATCATCATCATCATCATCACCATCACCATCACCATCACCATCACCATCACCATCACCATCATGATCATCATCATCATCATCATCATCATCATCATCATCATCATCATCCCTCCCCCCTCCTCCCCCTCATCCTCCTCCTCCTGGCGCCGATTTCTCGGTGGCGACGTGCAGTTGCCGTGGAGAAGATAATGACCTCGCGGAGCTACGCACTGACCACACTGAGGGGGGGGGGGACGGTTCGGGGTACCTGGACAAGGAGGGCCCACATGGCGTCCCCAGCGTCGGCACGTCGTTTTCCGAGTCGGAGGGCTTCCAGATGCATCAGAACGGCGACGAGAGCAGCATCATCGAGGAGGGGTGTCCGAGACTTCACGGCGCCACCGGCGCTGCCCGAGGTTCCAGCCCACGCCGATGCTGCACCCAGCACCGGCTGCAATTCGAGTTCGAGCGCTTCGCCTGCATGTTGCAAGGCTGAATGGGGCTATGCTGCGAGCTCTGGTAAGATAAGTTGGGCCGACACTGACGGCAGCGAAGAGGAGCGCTCGACACGTGGGCCGCCCAGCTGCAGTGCTGGCCCTGAGGACCTTCTGTATAGAGCGCTGCAGGGTACGGTGCCTCCCTGGAGCCTGGCGGCGCAGGGGAGACGGGAGGCACGGACACCTTCGACGAGATTCTGGGAAGGCTGCGCCACGGAGGAGCGGCTGACAAGCGGAGGAGCCGAATTCTTCACCCAGCGCCGCGGCAAGGACGAGGTGGCGGCTGCTCGGCGCAAGCTGCGCCAGGCTGCCGCCCCGGAGGCCGCACCCCGGGCCCTGGCAGGGCCCGCCTGCCGCCGTGCAGGGCGGGCTGCCGGCGGCCGAGGCCCGGGAGGCCAAGCAGGTAGGGCAGGCAGGCAGCGCGCAGAGCAGCAGGCCTCCCGCACGGAGCAGGCCCGACGCGGCAGTCAGCGTGCTTCTCTTCGGCCGGGTGCTTCAGCGTCGCCACGGTTAGACTCTGGTGGGCTTGCTTTGGGACGCACAGAGACACACTGTTGGTACTGTGTGTTCGCCTTGGAGGCGGCGTCCGACCCGAACATACAGCACACCCATCTTGTAGGGTATCCTTTCCCGAGCGGTGTGGCCAGAAAGCGCCCGCCGCGACACATACCTATACGACCACCCTTCAGGTGATAAGGAGGTTGTGGGGGGGAGAGGGGGGGAACCATCATCTGAATCAATCGATCTCACTATCGATGTCACTCAACGGGACACCACGGGACACCACGGGACAATTGTCGATCTCACTATCGATCTCACTATCGATCTCACTCAACGGGACATCACGGGACACCACGGGCCACCACGGGACACCACGGGACACCGCGGGACACCTCTCGATCTCACTATCGGTCTCACTATCGATCTCACTATCGATCTCACTCAGCGGGACACCACGGGACATCATGGGGCACCACATCGACCTCAGTATCGATCTCACTATCGATCTCACTATCGATCTCACTCAACGGGACACCACGGGACACCACGGGACACCACGGAACACCGCGCGGCACCGCGCGGCACCGGCCGCTGGAGGAGCAACATTTGGTCCGGCCGCGGCCCAGCCACAAGAGGATTTCGGGACACCCGCGGGACACCGGCGGGACACCGCGCGGCACCGGCCGCCGGAGGAGCAACATTTGGTCCGGCCGCGGCCCAGCCACAGGAGGATTTCCTCGCGCCCGCCCACGCAGCTTCGCCTCGCCCGCACGCACGCACGGACGGTACGCACGACACGAACCCGAAACCGAAATCGATTTCCTGGAAGGGGGGGTCTCCGTTTCACGTCGGACTCACCCCCCAACCTCCGATACTAGAAGATTTCTCGGTGCGCGCGTCGCCCCTGAGGGGGCGACGCACATATAGTATAAGTATGTTGGGGTGACGCCGACGTTTTCCACCGCCGCCACCATAAGTAGGAGGGGGAGAGGGTCCTCCTCCTCCTCCTCTTCTTCTTCTTCCTCCTCCTTCTCCTCTTCATCCTCCACCTCCTTCTCCCCTCCAACTCCTGGTGGTGGTTGTGGAAAACAGGCCCACCAGACTCGGCTTGGAAGCTGGGGCGCCACTCTGCGGGCCCAGTCGGGCCTGGGGCCAGAGCCCTCGTGCCCCCGCGTGGCGCCGCCGGCCCTGGGCCCGGCCCTGGCCTCCCGGGGCCGGGCGCGCGCCGCAGCCTGCGCGGAGCGCAGGCCGCCCTCGGCGGGCGTACCGGCAGACGCCCTTTCATGCCTTCATGCCTTCATGCCTCCTCCTCCTCCTCCTCCTCCTCCTCCTCCTCCTCCTCCTCCTCCTCCTCCTCCTCCTCCTCCCCCTCCTCCTGGCCCTCCTCCTCCTTCTCCTCCTCCTCATCCTCCTCCTCCACCTCCTCCTCCTCCTCCTCCTACTCCTCCTCCCCCTCCCCCTCCCCCTCCCCCTCCTCCTCCGCCCCCCGTCGCTCGTTGGCGAGGCGGCGGACACCCGGGGGCCACGTGGCGGAGAAGAACATCGTGTGCCTCTGCGCGGGGACCTTTTGCAGGATCTTCCGTATCTGGGGCTCGAAGCCCATGTCCAGCATGCGGTCGGCCTCGTCCAGCACCTCCGGGGGAAGGGAGAGCCAGCGGAGAAGCCCGTGCCGATGCCGAAAGCGGCTCCCTCGTCCCCGCCGCTCGGGGCTCCCTGCAGTGCCCGCGCCGCCACGGCTGGATGCGCCTCGGAATCTTGGTAGGAACGCACTCTGGGAGAGGCCCCGGGTGTGGCGGTACGGGGGGGGGACGAGAGAAGGGGAGCGGAGCTGGGAGGAGGAGGAGGAGGAGGAGGAGGAGGAGGAGGAGGAGGAGGAGGAGGAGGAGGAGGAGGGGGGGGAGGGGAGGAGGAGGAGGAGGGAGGGAGGGAGGGAGGGAGGGAGGGCGGGAGGAAGAGGAGGGAGAGGGCGGGAGGGAGGGAGGGAGGGAGGGAGAGAGGAGGAGGAGAGGAGAGGAGGAGGAGGAGGAGAGGAGGAGGAGGAGGAGGAGGAGGAGGAGGAGGAGGAGGAGGGAGGAGGGAGGGAGGGGAGGGGAGGAGGGAGGGAGGGAGGAGGAGGCAGGGGAGGGGAGGGAGGGAGGAGGGAGGGAGGGAGGGAGGGAGGGAGGGAGGGAGGGAGGGAGGGAGGGAGGGAGGGAGGAGGAGGAGGAGGAGGAGGAGGAGGAGGAGGAGGGAGGAGGAGAAGGAGGAGGAGGAGAAAGAGGAGGAGGAGGAGGAGGAGGAGGAGGAGGAGGAGGAGGAGGAGGAGGGGAAGAGATGAGAGGATGAGGCGGAGGGCCGAGGCGAGCAGGGGAGGAAGAAGGGGAGAGAAGGTAAACTCGCGGGGGTAGTGGAGCGGGCCCAGGGGGGGGTCCCCTGGGGATCGAGGCGAAGGAGGGAGGGGAGTTCGGGGGAGGCGAGGGAGAAGTGAAAAGGAGGGGAGGGGGGCGAAGGAGAGAAGGGATGTGAGGCAAGGTGAGGGGAGGGAGGGAGAGCGTAGGAAGGGGAGGGCAAGGAGTTGGAAGGGACAGAGGAGGACAAAAGCTGGGGAGGCTGGTCGATATGTACTCGTCATGTGGCCAAAGCCTTGCCAATGTCCAAGCAAACGGGGAAGGCAAGGGACGAAATTAGGGGAACACGCAATGACATAAACATACAAACTCGAAGGATCGCGCGCTGGGGCCCCCTGGCGGCGCCGCCCGTGGCGCGCTCCGCGCGCCAGGGACGAGGGTCCAGCGCCGATCCGAGAAATCCGCGAGGACCTCCGAGCTTTTATGTTTATGTGATTGTTTGCGCCCCCAGAAATGAAGGGGAGGGAGTGGAGGGGAGGAGAGGGACGGGTGGTGCCCCTTGCTGCAGGCACGTGCCTTGCCTTTCCCCGGAGCACCAGATTGTACACACGGCCCAAGTCGAGCTGGCCGCCCTCGAGGAAATCGTTGATGCGCCCTGGCGATGGGGACCAAAGGCTGGCCTGCGACTACTGGGTCCATCGTCCTCGTCCTTCTTCCAACCCTCCCCTTGCTCCTCCTCCTGCTCCTTCCCCAACTCCCCGTCCTCAGCCTCCTCCCCCTCCTCCTCCCGTGCCTTCTCCTCCTCCTCCTCCTCCTTGCCCTCCCGCTGCTCCTCCTCCCCCTCCTCCTCCACCTCCTCCTCCTCCTCCTCCTCCTCTTGCTCCTCCTCTTCCTCCTCCTCCTCCTCCTCCTCCTCCTGTCCACAGCCAGTTTGGCCCAAGGCTCTGAAGTCCAGCCCCCGTTCCTGCATCCGCGCAGGCTAGTCCCGAGTCCGCTTGCTGCTGGAGGGCTGGCGCGGGCGGCGGCCAAACCCCGGCTGCCAGAGGGGCGGTCCCGTGCGGAGCGCTCCACGGCGCCAGCGCAGGCTGTGCTGGCCGCAAACGCCAGACAAGCGCGTTCCACGACTCGCAAAGTAACTACTCGCACATGGGCCTGGACTCGCCGTGGGAGATCTACGACGCCTTACGCACAGGAAGACATGTTTTGTTTCGGAGGTTTGCGAGCAGGCAAGTTGCGAGTAGGAGAACGCGCTCGGTGAGACGCTGCTGCGGTGCGGGGCCTCAGTGAGGCTGCATCGTGGTGGAGGAGGTTCCTGGACCTGTCCGAGGCCTTCGGGCAGGTGTCTGGTGGGGACTCTGACCTTGCCGACTGGCTGCTCGCCATCGTGCTCGCTCCTCGGGACCTTCTCGCTGACAGAGCTCCTGCCCGTGAACACGTTTTGCGACGCAATGTCGCCTGGCACGCCAAGGCCGACGGGATCAAGATCTCCGAGATGTCGGTTGCTCAGCACGGGCCTCGTCTTGCACCCGATCGACAGGCCTGCATGGAGTCCAGGTTGCCGCGCTAATCTCCCGGAACGTGGACGCGGGAATAGCCGGCTCCTGCAACAAGGCGTCCTCGCACATGCCCCCTCGCGAGAAAGAGAGAGTCCAGCCGCCCCATGCAGCACAGCGAGTCTCCTGCCAACCGTGACTGGACCGAGGGAGCCACTTGCTCAACCTCCTCCGCCTCTGGGTCCGCTGCGGCCACCCGCGGGCCGTCCTCCTCTCGTCGGTCGCAGGAGTCAGCCGCGGGCACAAGCGTGCTCCCGAGGCCGATGGATTGCCGTGCACCTGCGGCGCCGTCGCCTGCGCCTCCCCTGCGCGGGGCGGGCTGGGCAGCACTGCGGCGGAGGCGCGGCAGCCAGTGGCTCCCCTGCAAAGCCGGTGGAGCCGCTCCTCGCGAACACGACGATGGCGCCGTTGTTGATCCTTCGGGCGAGCTTCACGTCGGCTTCCCTGCGAGGGGGGGGGCTTCCCCCCTGGGGCGCTGGGGACTGCACTCTCCCCCCCGTCCCATGCAGGAGGAGGAGGCCAGGAGGGGGGAAGAGGAGCGGCAGGAAGGGAGGCTGCTGCGCTGGACGAGCCCTGCAGCCATCAGGAATCCGGAAGCAGCAGGCGTCCCCTGAGCGTAGCACGATAACCGTATTCCTCCGCCCCTCGCGCTCGTTGTCCCGAAGGGCGCCCACAACTGGGGGAGCGCAGGTGAGGCGTATTGGAGGAGGAAAAGGAGGAGGAAGAGGAGGATGAGGAGGAGGAGGAGGAGGAGGTGGAGGAGAGGCAAGAGGAGGAGGAGGAGGAGGAGGAGGAGGAGGAGGGAGGAGGAGGAGGAGGAGGAGGAGGAGGAGGAGGAGGAGGGGAGGGGGAGGGGAGGAGGGGAGGAGGAGGAGGAGGAGAGGAGGAGGAGGAGGAGAGGAGGAGGAGGAGGAGGAGGAGGAGGAGGAGGAGGAGGAGGAGGAGGAGAGGGAGGAGGGAGGAGGAGGAGAAGGAGGAGAAGGAGGAGGAGGAGGAGGAGGAGGAGGGGGAGGGGAGAGAGAAGGGGGAGGAGGAGGAGGAGGAGGAGGAGGAGGAGGAGGAGGAGGAGGGAGAGGAGGAGGAGGACGAGGAAGGAGGAGGAGGAGGAGGAGGAGGGACGAAGAGGAGGGGGAGGAGTAGGAGTAGGAGGAGGAGGAGGAGGAGGAGGAGGAGGAGGAGGAGGAGGGCGAGGGGCAGGGGCGGGGACGTGGAGGCGCTCGGCCCCCTGCGCCCAGGAGGGCGGCCAGGGGCCCGCGGCCGCCGCGCTGAGGCCGCTGGGGCACGGCCGGCCGTGCTGCCGCGGAGGCGGCGGCTCCCCTTGCTTCCCGACGCGAGGTGCGTGCGGGCCAGGTTTGAGCAGGAAGGACACACTTCCCAACTCAACGCCCGCATATAGTAGCTGGTACGCGACGACGCAAGGACACACTTCCCAACTCAACGCCTGCGGATGGTAGCTGGTACGCGACGACGAAAAGACAGATTTCCCAATTCCACGCCAGCAGTGTAGCAGTTGGTACAGAGCGACGCAAGGACACATTTCCCAACTCAACGCCTGCATATAGTAGGACGCAAGGACACATCCCGGCATCCCTATAGGCCTTAGAGATGCTTGAAGTTTTGGTTGGGTTTGTTATGTTCCGAGTTCTTGTTTCGAATGTTTCGATGTTTTGTTGGGGGGGTCCTGTTGAGGATTGTCCTAGGGTTTTGGCCGATTTTCTCGGTGGGCCTGCTGTGGCAGAATTGCCGAACCCAACTATAGGCCTACCACGAAAGGTTCTTAGGACCCGAAAAACGTTCTAAGAACACAAACAGTAGTCTTAGAACGTAGATTCGAGGAGCTAAAACAGGACAGTACCAGCCCGACATGTTCTAAGAGCATTTCGCGCAGAGCACACCACTAAGTTTCTTAGAACATTCTTTGGTGGGCGTGTAGGCGAGCCAGGACGCTTCGCCACTGCGTGACAGGTGCGTATGCGTACCCCCTGCGTCTTGGGGCGCCCTTCCCCAGACGCCCGAGGCGCAGCGGGCACGTGTAAAGACCTGGCCCAAGACCTGTACCCATGTCCACTGCGCCTCGGCCTTGGGGCGCCCCTTCCCAGAGAAGTCCAGGACGCTTTCTTATCATTCGGTTTCTGCTTCTCCTCATGAGTATTAGCATTATCATTCTTATCATGATTGTCATTATTATTAGTATCATTCATATTATTATTGTTATTAGGATGATTAGTAGTACTATTATTCTTGTTACTCCGGGCCCTGCCCGTGAGCGTGGAGCTCCCCTGCATGTTCCTCACGGTATGTGCACTCCGGCCCCCAGCAGGCTCACCCACATACCTGGAGATGCGTCGGGGGGCGTTGTGGACGCTCAGCAAAAACCAGCTCCTCCTCCTCCTCCTCCTCCTCCTCCTCCTCCTCCTCCTCCTCCCCCTCCTCCCCCTCCACATACGCCTCCACTCGCTCCTCCTGCCATCGGTCCGCGGTGGACCTTTCCGCGGCGTGATTTTTCCGAAATCGAGCGGTCGCACGTAAGCCTGACAGATTGCTGTCGATGACTTCGTGTTAAACGTTCGCTGCAGAAACGTGGCGACAGAAAAGGACTTTCCCCAGCACCGCCGGGGAAGGAAAGCCTGATCCACCTGGGAAGGAAGCAGAGGCCTCTGGGACCATCTTGCGACCAGCGAGGCGTCAAATGCATGTGGTCCTGTTTTGCTGGTCTTGTGATTTGGCTCCCTCCTGGGGTGGGGTGTTTTGAAAAACCGCCGACCCGTTGTGGGTCTCTAGGCGTGTGAGATTCTCCCCCCCATAATCCCCCCCCAGGGACCCCAAACTGGCAATTCGGACCCCCCCCGCTGGCCCAGGACGACCCCGGACCGAACGCGTCATGGGGGAGCGGAGGGCTCCAAAACAAGCCAAGAAGGCACCAAAACACTCCCCAGACGGTCCCAGAGGGCCACGAGTCGCCGAAATATCGCTCCTTGACGCCCACGATGGTCTCCAGACGGCCTCCGAAGCTGCCAAGACGCCCCAAAAGGCCCCCAAGCTGCGTCCCAAGAGGGTCCCCAGAAACAAAATCGCCCCATTCCCTTTGAAGAAAAGAAAATCGCATACTCGCCTTTTCGGCTTTGACAACGTCCAAGACGGGTACAGAAAACCTTCAATATCGCCCCCGGACGGCCGAAGGGGCCCCCAAGAGGGGTCGAAGAGGGTTCCAAAACAGCCCACGAAGACCCCAAGACAGCCCAAGAGGGCTCCCAGACGGCTCCAAGAGGGAGTCCAGAGCCTTCGGCCCCAAGACGCCCCCAGCCTGCCCCAAGAACACCCCAAGATGCCCTGAAGAACCCCCAAGAGAACCTCAAAGGCCTCCCAGAAGCCCCCAGGGAGCCCCCAAGAGGCCCCCAAGAGCCCCCAAGACAGCCCAGACGCGATGAAAATCTTAGGGGTACGCCATCAGGAACTAAGGGGACGTGTGCGACGATGGTCGGCCCGTTGGACCCTCGACAAGCCCCGGGACCGTCAAACAACGACTCAACATGATAACCAGGCCCTACGAAAAATCCGCCATCGTGCCTGCACGACGTGGGCGTGTTAGGATGCCAAGTGCTGCACTGTAGCGTGTTCTAATTCGGACCCCCCCCCCTGCATGCCCATGCATGCCCCCTGTCCCCGAGGCCACGAGCCCTCGCATTTTGTTAACATGGGAGCCGCGCTCCCGAGGCCACGATCCCTCGTTGGAAGTTTGTGCGTCCGCGTCCCGAGCTTCCAAGAGAGCCCAGGCAGGCAACCAAGGCAACCAAGATGGCCCAAGATGCCTCGAGGCGGCCGGATATGGCCTGCAGACAAGCCAAAATGCCACCAAAAAGGCACAAAAGAGCACCAAGAGGTACGATAACAGCAACGAAGCAACAGGAACGATGTCGAGCGCCGTGTCATGATTCGGACAAGCCTCGTGAAATGCAGCACTGGAGGCGCAATACTTTATATAGGGGTCGGCGGATGTGGCGTAAGCCTATAATCTTCATGGGGCATCCATGCCTTGGGTCATTGCCGGGCGCTTACGGCTTGGGCGATATTCGGGCCATGTTTGGGCCCTAGTTAAGAGTCTAACAGGAGACGGAAAGCGAAAAATCCAAAATCGCACGGAAAGTTTAGGTTTGTGACAGTGGTTGGCCTCTCGGGACCATCATGGGGATGCTCCGAGGCCACCTCGAGTCCAACGCATGCTCCTGCAACTCCCTCATCAAAACAGCTCGCCGTGGCATCGCTTCTGGACTGGTTGGCTGGGATACGCGAAGCGTCAACGATATGAGTTTCCTTGCAAATGGCCTGGCGTGCCGATGACACCGTGCACGCCACTTCTCAGCTCCTGCGCCTGGACATGCTTAGGGGCTCCGCCATAGCAACACACAGTCTTGATCGTCGGTTTGCCGAACTTGTCGGCCTCCTCCTGTGCGGAATCTCGAGACATACCTCGTCTTTCCCCCTCGGTTTCCTCATCATCCACATCATCACCATCATCATCATCAGCAGCATCAGCAGCATCAGCAGAATCAGCATCATCATCATCATCAGCATCAGCATCAGCATCAGCATCAGAATCATCATCCTCATCAGCATCATCACCATCATCATCATCATCATCATCAGCAGCATCATTATCACCACCATCATCATCATCATCATCATCATCATCATCATCATCATCATCAACAACATCATCATCATCATCCCCTTCCTCTTCCTCCTCCTTCCGCTCGCACTTCACGATCCAAATCCTCTACGTACTCCTCACTAGAATCACTGTGTGCCTTCGGTCCCGCATCCACCAATACCACCTCCTCCTCCTCCTCCTGCTCTCCCCATCCTCCTCTTCCTCATCCCCCTGTGTCTCAATCCTCCCTCCCCCCTTCCCATCATCCTCCATTCCATGTCCTCTCCTCCTGTCCTCCTCCCTCCACTGCCATCCCCTCCCCATCCCGTCCCACCCTCCCTGTCCGCGGAGGAAGGAAGAGGGAGGAGGGAGGAGGGAGGAGGGAGGTGGTAGGAGGGAGGTGGTAGGAGGGAGGTGGGAGAAGGGAGGAGGGAGGAGGGAGGTGGGAGGAGGGAGGTGGGAGGAGGGAGGTGGGAGGAGGAAGGAGGGAGAAGAGAGGAGGGAGGTGGGAGGAGGGAGCTGGGAGGAGGGAGGAGAGAGGAGGGGGAGGGAGGAGTGGAGAGAGGAGGGAGCTGGGAGGAGGGAGGAGAGAGGAGGTGGGAGGAGGGATGACGCAGGGCGGAGGAAGGAGGGACCCTACAGGTTCATACCAGTATCCTCCGCGCCCCCTCTCCTCCCCAGACCCTCTGCCCTGTTGCTGCACCCACCCTTTTCTGGAGATGAAGTCCCGGATTGTTTCTCCCACGACGGGCGGGCGGAGTGGCCATGAATCCTGAGGAGCGCCAGGAAAGTGCAGGCGTACGATTGCATTCTCTCCTCCTCCTCCTCCTCCTCCTCCTGCGCCTCCTCCTCCTCCCTCTCCAACTCCTCCTCCTCCTCCTCCTCCTGCTCCCCCTGCCCATTCTCGTGTGGTTCTCATCATCATCATCATCATCATCATCACCATCAGCAGCAGCATCATCATCATCATCATCATCATCATCATGATCATCATCATCATCATCACCATCATCATCATCAGCAGCAGCAGCAACAGCATCAGCAGCATCATCGTCATCATCAACATCACCATCATCATCATCGTCATCATCATCATCACCATCAGCATCATCACCATCATCATCAACGCCATCATCATTATCATCACCATCATCAGCATCATCATCATCATAAGCATCATCAGCACCATCACCATCACCATCATCATCCTCAGCATTCGCATCATCAGCATCAGCATCTGCATCAGCATCAGCAGCAGCACCATCATCATCATCGTCACCATTATCATCATCAGCAGCATCAGCAGCATCATCATCAGCATCATCATCATCACCATCATCATCAGCATCATCATCATGAGAAGCAGCCAGCATCACCATCATAATCTCGCAGCAACATCAGACGGAGCGCGATCCACCGCGGCAGTGCTGAAACAAATCCCTAAGGGGGGTCAAAGAACCAGGGGGGGCTCCCCCCCCAGAAAAAAAATCGCTGGGGGGGTCGGAAGCCGAAGGGGACCCCCCCCGTCCCCTCCAACTCCCTCCATGCACACCTCCCCCTCCCCCCAAAATAACCGAACCCCTCTCCCCCACCCCCTCCCCGGGCCCCCCGGGGGGGGTTCGAACTCCCTCCCCCCCCCCCGAGGCGGGCGGATTGTTGTCTGAGCGGGCGCGGGGCCCGAAACCCTCCAACGCGGCCTCCACGTGGTGCATCATTACCATCATCAACGTCTTGGGACAATCTTGGAGGCCATCTTGGGCCATCTTGGCAATGTTGTATGCCATCTTCGGCGCCTGGTGGAATCTGCGTGGCGCATGCCACTTGGCGCACTCTATCTGGCGCTACCTCTCTGGTGCAGTCTGGCGACGACAGCGACGACTGATGACGCGAACTGTTTCGGCTTGCGCTCTCCAGAGGAGGTGCGCACATCGATCTCTCATCCTGCCGCGCGGGCATGCGGCGCGCGCATCTCAGAAGACCGTCATCTTCAGGAGCGCCTCGAGGGGCGCCGAAGCGCCCTGTGGGCCTCCCAGCGGCCCCTGCTCCGTCATCTGGAAGAAGAATTGCCAGTGGCGGTCGACAGAACGCAGCAGCATGTCCTTGAAGGCCTTCCGTGATGAGAAGGTGAACTTCTCCATCGCCAAGTAGACAATGACGGCCGCAAGCTCGTCGTCACAGAAGACCACAGCGCAACGGGGAACGGTTCCTTCGTCGTGCAGGCGCATGAGCCAGGTCCCCTCCCCCTCGTCGGGCAAGGCGGCTGTCGGGATCAATTCCTTGATGGTGAGGATGGACTTCGCCTCGAGATACGCGACTCCAGAAAGATCGCGCTCGGCGTGTTCACGGGCCAGTTGCATGAGCTGCTGCGCGAGAGCCAGCGTGCCATAATCGCCCAGAGCCGTCGGCACCGTGATGAGCACGCTCGAGAGGTCCTGCGCGGGCACCAGGCTCGGTTCGATGGGGGCGTCGCTGTACTCGCAGTTGCGAATCAAATTGTAGAAGGGCAAGTGCCTTTTCTCCCGAAGACGCACCACGAATGCCAGCGGCTGCTGCGCTACATAGCGGCTGGCCGCGAGGGCAAAGACTTCGGCGTCCGACTGCGTTTCCGCGCCCTGCTCCTCCACGGCGAGCCTCGCTTTCTCGGCGGCGACCCTGCCCGTGTCTATGCGCGCGCCATCGTATGCCTTCGCGAGGTGCTTGAAGGGCCGCTGGCGCGCGAAGTCGCAGATGTGCATCGCCACGTAGGACTCGGCCATCTGCCAGAAGTGGGCGAAGCAATTGCCCTCAACCCACGTCACAGAGGGGTCGTCCTTCAGCGCGGCATACTGTTCAGGCATGGCCGACGCGGCAGCCCATCGCAGGAACCACGACAGCCGCTTCAGCTTCTTCAAGAATTCCTCGCAGTCGGGGCCCAGAAGGGTCGCGTGTGGGAGCTCCTTCTTTCCGTGGATCGCCATGAGGATAACGTCCTTGCCAAGTGCCCCTGGGGGCCCAAGTTCTCTCAGACACACCCCGTCGCGGCCCTGCCGGAGTTCCTTCAGCAGGACGAGCTCTGGGGCGAAGGCCGCCTTCACATCCTCCGCGAGCCGCAAGTGCTGGAGTAGCTGTTCGCTGAACGTCAGGCACGCCGCGACCTGGTCCAGGCCCACGGTCTGGGGGAAGGCTATCATCTGCAAATACTGCGGCATGTTCTGGGCGGCGGGGAAGTCACCCGCCGTCGCGTGCTCGCGAGACACCCACGGCCTGCTCATCACGTACTGCACCCGCACCGTGTGGACATGAGAAGGGGCCACCTTGCCTGCAAGCTGCCGCCGCTTCTCAGCGCCTGGTTCAGCAGCGTCGCTCGACACGCGCCCGAGCGCCCTGCTGGGGGGGGGGGCGCCACGGCGGCCGCGAAGCGCCGCACCGCGTCCAACTTCTCGATGCGCTTCCTGATCGCCGACTCCTCTTCCTTCTGGGCATTGGACCGGCGGCCCCTGCCCTCCGCGCCCCCGCCTTCGTCCTCCCGCGGCTCCTGCGCAGCGGCAGGGCGCTTCACCCTCTTCATGGGGTGGCCTGGCGCTCGGGCGGCCAGCAACCTTTGCAGGGCCTCGATCGCGAGCTCCGCGTTCTGCATGTAGGCCACGTTGTCAACGAGCTTCTTCTTCGCGTTCTTGACGTCGATGGCCTCGGGAAGCACCCCTGGGTTCTGGGGCGTCGCCGCCGCCGCACCGAAGAGGTCATCCATCGTGTACTTGAAGGGGAAGACAGGGACGACGGAAGCGCCGTCACGGTGCTGCGCCTTGGTCGCCTGGAGTTTCCATAATCCTGAGCAAGGGAGGTCGTCCCACAGCTGCTGCCGATTATTGCTCGAGCCCTCTATCCGCCGAGATCGCTGGTTGAAGTACGAGAGGGCCATGGCTTCCAGTCCTCTGTCGCAAGTCTCGCGGAGCAGCGCTACCGCGAACTCGCGCTCCTTGGCGCTGGCCGACGTGGGCGCCTGCAACGAGAACTCGTCGGCGTCGACCTCCACCACCACGCCTGCCAGTAGAGACTGGTTGTCCGACACGGAGGGGGCTCCGAGGCTGCACGCGCGACGCATGTAGCGCTCGGTGACGCCCAGGTCCTCGCCGCCGCGCGAGTACTGCACTATGAAGTCCTGGCACTGCTGCTCCCCGTTGCTCGCCTCGAAGACGTGCTGCGTGCGATTCCAGGCTGCCGCGCATTGACTCGTCTGGAACTTGCGCGTGAAGGACGGATCTCGAGCGAATGTGCCGTACTCCTCGTGCTCGGGGAAGTGTGCGCCCAGGTACTGCTTGTCGAACAGGCGGGCAGCGATTTTTATCACGCAGGACCTCCTCATGATGGATTCGAACTCCTGCTCGGTGAGGTCGCTGAAAGCGAGCATGGAGTTAACTTCGAGCTTGACCCACCCAATCAACCTGACCATGCGGGTCAGCACGGCATAGGGGAGACGCCCCCTCAGACCCTCGCCGCTGAGGAACTTCCTCCACAGGTGCAGGAGCAACTTCTTCTTGGATCCTTGGGGCCGCTCCTGGCCTGAATACACGCACCCCCCTGCGAGGAGCTCCACGCACTTTCGGAGCTCTTCGTCGTCGTAGAATACAAATGGGTTGAAATACTTGTGAAGCTCGTCGCCCATCGACGTCGCGATGGGGTCGGTGAAGAGGGAGAGGCCGCAGCCGCCCGCACCGAGGAAGATGTAGCACTGGAGCACGTGCAGGCCGCCCTTCGCCATGGCCGGCGCAGAGCGGATAGCGTTGAGGGCCTCGAAATTGCACCAGAAAGTGCTGGACAGGAACTTGTTCGCGTCGTCCGTCGCGGCCATCAAGACTGGGTCGTCCAGAGGCCGCTCTGGGCCCTCGTCCTCCGCGCCCCCATCCTCGTGCGTGGCCGGGACCAGCGAGGAGTCCATGCAGAAGAAGAAGAAGTCCTTCGGCGTGGGCATCCCGTCTACCACGACCAGCGGCTGCACGACCACGCCGTCGGCCGTCATCATGGGGACATCTTGCTTGACAGCGCGGTCGAGGTAGCACACCCCGCGCGCGGGGGTGACCGACGTGCCACACCACTCCGTGAAGTTCTTGACCACGGAGCCCCCCTGCATGAGCTCGGACGCGAGCTTCTTGCCGAAGGATCGGATACACACAGCAACGTCGATATGCCATGGCATTTTCAGCTTCTTCGCCTTGGGCCCCTCGTCCTCATCGCCATCGCGGGAAGGGCGCCCGTCGCCTCCCTCGCCCCCAGCTGGAGCGCGCTGCTGTGGGGGACCGCCTGGCTCGTCCACGTCGGCCACGGCTTCTTCCTGATCGCCCGACCCCTTGTTCCACAGGGAAAAGTGCTCGAACATCTGAAAGGCATTCTTCGCTTTCTGCTCGATGCCATCGCCGTCGGACGACTTGATAATGGCGTCCATCTTCTCCAGTGCGCCGTTGGCATCTCGCCTCACATCCTTGCCGACGCAGCGAAACATGCCCTCCAGTCGGTTCATGAAGAGGCGGAAGTGGGCATACATGCCCTCGGGAAACAGGCCGGTGTAGGCTCTCCACCCGCCGCTGTTCGGGTCGAAGAAGCGCACGCGGCCGTCGACGCTGATGACGCGAGTGCGGCCGAGAGCCAGGTGGCGAACTCGTTCGTGGCAAAGTCGCCGAACCGACGGTTGTACACGGCGAGGGCGGCAGTTGCAAGCCTCATGTACTCCTCGGGCCAGTCGGCGTACTTCTCCATGATCCCCTTCTCGACGCGGCGGTTTTCAAAACGGATGCCCTCCCGAGGCACGCGCTGGAAACGCTTGGCGTTGCGGACGACATCCGACATGACCTGGGGCAGCTCCACTTCGCACTTCTCGAACACCGCCTTGGACTCCTGGGCCCTCGGGAAGCGCTTGCGCCCCTCGAACACCTCCGAGGGGGGGCCGACCGCCCTGGCCCGCGGCGCAGCTTGAGATAGGCGTTGCGCCGCACCTTGCGATGCGGGGTCTCCCGCGGGCGCTTCGCTGTCCCCGAGGTCCAGGAGGGCGCCCAAGCTTCCTGTCAGATCGACCGCCTCCCCCTCGCCCTCGCCCGCGGAGCTCATGCCGCCCAGAAGTGTAGATCGCGTCGGGGGGGGCGCGCAGCGCTGCGGCTAACTCGAACCAAAGCAGCTGCGCGCATCCGAGTGCCAGGTCGGAGGGGCGAGCAGAACCCTGATACCGAGGAGTCGGATAATGAGGATCAGATGGTCTCTAGTAGCAACGGTTGGTGCTGGCGGGCCTGTTTCACACGATGGCCCTCCCACTCTGAAGGCAACGACAGGCAGGTGGCAGTGGCGACGGTGATGGATAATGACGATCTGAGGACTCGAATTGTCTCAGCTTCCGCTTCCAGAGGAGGCGCGCAGATCGATCCCTTATCCCACCATGCGAGCGCATGGCTAGCGCATCTCAGAAGACAATCACCTTCAGGAGCGCCTCAATGAGCCTCAGCGGGGCGCAGCTCTTCGCTTCTTGTTGAAGGCGTGGCGCTTCGTGCCCTTTGGCTTCGCCTGCGGGGGGCGCTTGGATGGGGGAACGCTTACGAACCCCTGGGAGAGCAACTCCTCGGCTGCTGCTCGCTGCAGTCCCGACCTTGCTCTTAGCCCTGGCCGCGCGAATGCGCCCCTTGTGCTCAAGGCGCCGCGCGACCAGGGGCGCATCTGCAGCTCGCGCGGCAGCCCACTCATCGTCGAGCAAACGGAAGACCGACAGCGCATGCAGGGCGACGGTGCGCTGGCCTGTCTGCGACAGCGTCGGGCAATGCTCTGCAGAGTTGTGGGCGGGCAACTTCAGATCGCCGAATGCCTTGATCGTTAAGAGGAGCGCGGATTGATAGAACAGGCCGTGGAAGCGGAATCGGTAAATTATCTCTGCGTTCAGGGCCTCCACCGCAGCGGTTCCCGAAGACAACTGCGCTCGCTGCTCCTCTGGCACGAGTAGGAGGCGACGCTGGTTATTGAGAACGTAACTCAATCGCTGGGGGCTGGTGGCTCGCCAGAGAGCCACGTGCACAGGCCCGACCTTCACCGACGGCTTCCTGCGGACCTCCACTGGGAAAGCGGCGCAGAGCGCGGCGAGATCCTCTATGTAATCCTCCACCGAGTAATAAGGGGCACTCCCATCCAGATCCTGCAGGCGGTTGGCCGCCGCGTCGGGCGCCATGCTGCACTTGGCGATCCAGTCTCGCGCAACCAGGGCTCGCTTAGACATTTGCGCGGCCCCGCTCGGCTGGGGGAGCTGCACGCGGCCGTCGACCTTGTTCCACTTAGCCTGTATCGTCCGCAGCGTCTGCCCCGCCGAGGTCTTGGCCCTGCCCTGCGCAGACTCGAACGAGAACGCTATGTGGACGAGGTCGAGAACGAGAAACTCCAAGTTCGGCATCACAGCTTTGAGCTGCGCCAGCAACTCTGGGCCGGGCGAATCAGTTGCCACGGTGCGCACCTGGGCCAAACAATCGGCGGGCACATGCTGGGCGAGCTCTCGGGCGATGTCCTCTCCGCTCTCGCTCTTGGTCCCCACGCAGCAGACCATGGCCCCTGTCCGCCCGCGGACTGTGACGATGCGACGCACCGCCTCCGCGTCAGGAATTGCCGCAGCTTCTCGAACGGCAGCCTTCTCCCGGTAATCCGCCTGTCCGGCGATGCTGCGGCATGGGCGATAGAGGCCGCCCAGGGACAAGTGTTGGAATTCGCCGCGCCCCCCTGCACTCCTCGAGCGCTGACGCGCGCCGGCGAATCATCCCTTCCGACTACAATACCTTCTCAACCAAGGCCCTCCAGAACATCTCTTGCGCGTAAGGAATGCGCTCAGCCAGGTCGCACTTCATTCGTAGATAATGTAGAACAATCCGTGCGCGGACTTCCTGGGAGGCGAAGCCGCACAAGAGGAATTCGGCGTAGCACATCTCGCAGAAAGCTCTGGTGACGCACGTGCAACCGATGCGAAGGTATTGCGCAGGGTTGGAACTGACCACCGTTGCTCGGGCGAACGAAACCACATTGGCGTCGAGGAGGAGGACAACGCGGCGATCGTTGAATGCTTGCACGTCGCCACATACTGCGCCGAGCATCGCTGCGCTCCGAGCCAGATAATCGCGCCGCACCCTGCGCACCATGCGATCGCGGTCAAACAACGCGGCCATGACCCTCAACAGCTTTGTTCCCGCGGCCGTGAAATTGGCGCCGCCAAAACGCAGACCACCAGCGATTCTCTTCGCCGCCTGCTGCTTTGCGCAATGACGCGCATCTACGCGGCGACAGAGACGGGGGACCGAGCCACGCAACCATCGAAGTTCGGGGCAGAACGGGCAGGCGATCCCCCGGCCGTCGCTGGGCAACGATGCAGGAAAGGCTCTCTGTAACTGCCTCTTTGTCATATTCCTGACTTGAGAGAGGAACGACTGGATCTCCTCCTTCTGGGCGCCCCCGAAATCGACGCTCGCAAACACCTCGACCCCGCCCGCGCGACTGCCCTGAGCGAGCACGGGGGGGCTGCCCCCAGGTCCTTCATTGGCATCCCGAAGAATGTCCAGTGGGATCTGATCTGGCTGGGATGCCGCAGCCCCCGCCAGCTCCTGATCTTGGTTGCAGCTGAAGAAGAACTCGGACGCTGGGGCCTGGTCTGGTTGAGAGCTTGGCGCCTCCAGTGGGGCCTGGTCTGGCAGGCACCCGAAAAAGGGCTCGAAACGAGCCGCGCTGCCACTGCGCCTTGCCGAACAGCAAGGCCTCCTTGAGCCAAGACGGCAACGCAACATAGATGGCCATCCTGGAGGCCATCTGGGAGGCCATCTTGGAGGCCATCTTGGGGGCCATCTTAGCCCATCGGCACCATCATCATATTCCCATCATCAACGTATCGGGGCCATCTTGGAAGCCATATTGGGCCATCTTGGCAATCTTGCATGCCATCTTCGGCGCCTTGGAGGCCATTTTGGGCGCCATCTTGGGCCATCTTCGCGGAGGCCATCTTGGAGAACAAGTTGGGGGCCATATTGGGCCATGGTCACCATCATCATTACCATCATCAACGTATTGGGATCATCTTGGAGGCCATCTTGGGCCATCTTGGCAATGTTGTATGCACTCTTCGGCGCCTTGGAGGCCATCTTGGGGGCCATCCTGGTCCATCTTCTCGGAGGCCATCTTGGAGGCCATCTTGGATACCAGAGCAGATCAGACCAGACAAAATCATATTAGACCAAACCAGAACGACGACGAGGACGAGGACGAGGACGACGACGACAACGACAACGACGACGACGACGACGACGAGGACGACGACGACGACGACGACGACGACGAGGACGAGGACGACGACGACGGCGACGACGGCGACGGCGACGACGACGACGTCAGAGCCGCAACTGGCAAAATTTTGTCTTACAGCGGTTTCTGACGACGACGGCGACGTTTTTTTTGCTGCGCCTTCCGCTTGGCGTAACACCGTCGACTGATCTCCTGCCTAGACATGGCGGACCCATGCAGAGGCCGCCTGCCCCGCTTCACACCGCTGCCCCTAATATCATGGCCTTTGCTGCGACGGTCGCGCTCGGTCCGCGCACTGGCCCTGCCGGCCACGACAGTGCGTTTGCGGCTACACCCTGGCAGCGTCAAAGGCCCAGGTCCCTTTGGAAGTGTCACGCAAGGCTGAACCGTTCGAGATTTCTTTGCTTTGCTTTTGCTGAACTTCACTAAAGTGGGGAACTCTCGGGACAGCGCTACTGCGGCTTCGGCTTCTATTTTTTTCCGGGGAGAGAGCTGCAAAACTGACTGCTGACCGCCGCCTTCACGATACGCCCGTTTAACGGAAAACATCTGATAACACAAGAACCCGCCGTCTTTGGCCCAATAACGGCAGCTCAGCTCCAGGTCGGTGCAAAATTCACGCACAGTCAGGCCGGGTGCTTTTCTATTCCAACATCCGAACAGTCCATTCTGGACATGTCCATATTTGCGGCTCACCTTTTTCGGTGTCATTGATAGAGTACTCTGACAGGGGCAGACGCCCCAGAGCCATGCTCCTTCCTTTTAACAGAGATCGCCTGCGTGGTTGATTAAGGCCTTCAACAACCCGCAAGGCATCATGATCACAACTTTTTCCCCGTTTTGATCATAGTGTACAAAACGAATGTCTGTCACATTGTCCAGCATGCAAACTATGTAAGTCCTTTCGGGATAATGCTGTCGCATGCACTCCCACTGCGCACTAAGACCAATATTGCCTCGTTTTACTACCACTTTCTCCATCCCATGCTCTCGCAAAGACGCTTCGCATCGCTTCAGCTCTGGATCGGTTTGCTTTGGTACCGTGGTGTCAGCAACCCAGATATGAATCCGCTGCGGTTGGATCTGTTGTCGCCGCAAAAGAAAATCCAACGTTTTCTCGCAAAGAACATCAGGGCGGTCAACCGATGGAATCACAATAATATATTCATGGCCGCATCGCCCAACGTAGGATTCAAGAGTTCTCATGCTGGCAACTGGATCACAAAGGCAACGGAACAGATAATGGAGGGATGGGGGGACAATGAATAAGTATTACTGAGCTCGTGTTCGAAGGAATACGAGAGCACCCACGCAAGCTGGAGGACAACGCCGGGACTGGCACAGCAGGTGTGTAAGACAAAATGTTGCCGGGTCGACGTGTCTAGCACGCTGTTCCTGTTTTCCTCAGGGACGGGGGGGAGGGGCAGGCGAGCCGATCCGCAAACATTTTGTCTTACACGCTTGCCGTCAAGGATGCTGGCACGCCGCGTCCCCCCCTACTTCCCCCTTTCCTCCTCCTCCTCCTCCTCCTCCTCCTCCTCCTCCATCCTCCTCCTCGAGGCCCCACGATTGCCAAGATGGCCCCAAGATAGCCCAGAGATTGCCAAGCTGGCCCACAGCGGCGTCAAGATGGCTCCTCCGGGGAAGCGTGGAAGTGCAAAAATGGCAGAACGGATCGCCCAAGATGGCTGCCTGACAGAAACTCCCGATACCCTGGCCTCCTCCGCCTCCTCCCAATCTGGTAACTTCATTAACTTATTAGCTTTAGCAGCCGCCGTTCCTTCTCCACCTGGCCTTCCTGCGCCCCCTCCCAATCTGGAGGCCGCTAAAATTAATAAAGCTAATAAAGTAAATCAAATTCATAAAGTGAATAAAGTTCATTCCCGAATTAACTTATCAACTTTATCAACTTTATTAACTTTATTAA